GAAGGAAGAACACGGGTGAAGACCCGTCATTCCTCCCTTGTATGAAAACATCACCCAAGCGAAACCCTAAACCTAATCCTTAGCAGCCGCCACCACCTTATGACTCCCCAGCCGCCATCTCTTTCTTCTCCTTCGTTTGATTTCCCGATCAGATAAGCCGCCAAGCAGCCACCCCCGCCATTAAAGTGCCGCCACTAAAAACCTTGCTGTCGGAGACGTCGGGACAGTCGGATGAACCACCAAGAACGATTACGGGAGCGGGGTACGTCGATATGCAGATCGTAAGCGAAAGGGGAGCTCTCGGTAAGGTAAATCACCACTCATTTAACCCTTTTTCTTCGTTCTTCCTGTGGTTGCCGTCGAGTATGACGACTGTTGCCGCCGGTGATGGCAGCCACCTGTGAGGTGGCTGAATATGAGGATAGGCGAGTAGTAGGTTGTTTACGGCATTGGTGGTGTTATATGCAAGTTAATTGACGAAAAATCCACCACCACCTCAAGATGGTGGTTGTCGCCCCTGCCACCGCTCTCTGCCTCCACCAGCCACCGTGAAGGGTGGCTGTGTGTGTGATTTATTGTGTTTAATTGTGGGGATTTTTCTGTCATGTAGGAGTCGTGAAGAACCACCATGGCGGCCGTCCATGGTGGTTGCCGCCGTCAACACCGCCATCATCCGCTGCTGTTGTCGCCGCCGTACACCACCAGGTGGGTGGCTGGAGTGTAGTACGCAATTTGAAGTATATGCGTGTGTGTTTTGTCTAGCCGGAAATTCGAGAACAGCCACCGCAGCCACCGTGAGGTGGTGGCTGCCACCACATGCCACCGCCGACCACCACTAGGGTGGTTGTGTGTGTGTGTTTAGATTAGTTAGTATGTGTGTTTATTTTTGGATTAAAGCGTTGTAATTGTAATTAGCAAAAGAATAATGAAAAGAACCAAATCACCACCGTGAGCTGCCATTGACCACCACTACCCGAAGTGGTAGTGGTTGGTGCCCGACTAGTAAAACCCTAATGGGCTTAAAGATTTAGTTTTGGGCCTATTGGGTTATGATTGGGTGAGAAACCCTAATTAGGGTTTAGAAAACCCTAATATTGGATTATGGGTCTTGGATTTATCGGGACCCACATTTTGGGCCATTGGAATTGGACTATATATTAAGCCCGATTACACCATATGATTTATCTAGTAGAGTAGTGGACTTAATGGATTAAGTCCTTAATGGGTTAAGTGAGAAACACTTAACCCTAATTGTCATTTTATGTGAAACCCTAATTTCACTTGGGCCTGAAGTTGGGCCTTTATATTGGGCTTTGGTGATTGGGCCAATAATGGGCCACTCAAGGACAATCATATGGACTAGAATAATTTAATGGGCTTAAGGGTAATGCCCATGTAAGGGGTTTGGGCCCAATTTGGAAAATTGGGCCATAGATGGGCTATAGTTTGGGCCTTGATGAGCATGAGATATTGGACCATCAGAATGTCAGGTATTGGACCAAGAACAAATGGTTGGGCCTTAAGGCAAGACCATGTAGAGACTTGGGCCCAATTGGGAAAAATTGGGCCATGGTTGGGCCTTGGTTCATTATTAGACTTTTAGGCCTTTGGGATGGGGCCTTCGGCTTGAATCAAGCTAAGATAGGGGTAAAGCAGTCTTTTACCCCAAGCATGGGCTTATGAGTATATGTGATGGAACCCAATTGTTAATTGGGTGTTATTTTGATGTTGACAGATTTGGGAATCTGTCATCCAGCAGCTAGGGTTTTGTCAGCAGGACTTCAGTAATGTGAGGTGAGTTTCCTTCCAGTAGGAACGGGTCTACGGCCACAATATCGGCCCGTTAGATGATAGTAGTTCCGGATTTCGGTCCGATGCCGGGGTGGTCCCGAGAAGTAGTTATGTATGCTTGATGTCTTCGTGATTCATGCATGTTTATGATATGTGTTATATGTTCTGGACTTCGGTCCGATGCCGGGAAAGCCCGATGCAGTATATGTGATTATGTTATATGTTCATGTTTATGTTATGTTCAGTTTATTCCGGACTTCGGTCCGATGCCGGGCGGGGCCCAAGTTATGCCGGACTTCGGTCCGATGCCGGACGGGGCCCGATGCAGTGGGCAAGGCCCATTATGTGTTATATGTGTTATTGTATGGTATGTGGTAGTTTGGGGGAGCTCACTAAGCTTCGTGCTTACAGTTTTCAGTTTTGGTTTCAGGTGCTTCAGTTTTCAAAAGAGGAGCTCGGGAAGATTGCAGTGCACACACCATTTGTTTAGCCTGGGATGTTTATACTCTGATATATTTGACAGATGTTATGATATTCTTGCGATACACGATTTAGGATTTTTATATGTTGAAAGATAATTATGATTTTATTATTGAGTTAAAACGAAATTTTTTGGTCATATTTTTGGGATGTTTCAATGGTTCATCCCTTTTATTACCAAAACAACCTCTAAATTTTCCTATTTTTACCAAACGCCCCCTCTTTGGCACCCATTTTTACAGAAAATAGGCCCCATAGAAAAACAATTTGCTTAAAAAACCCAAAATACTCTAAACTTTCAAAATATTATACTTTTATATATTTTTTATGTATAAGACTATTGGTTGTCGAGGCCAACAAAATTAATAACCCTATATCTGTTACACTAAAATAGTGTATAGTGGTAAAGGGGTCGAATCCGCGGAGATTGGTTCGATTTTATAACTCTATGAAAAATCTCTTTGTAAAAGCACTTGTAAAATAACAATAAAAATAAAAATGGGGCTTTTGATCTTTTTAAAATACTTGAAATAAAATTAGAATTAAACTAAGATTTAAATGGACAATTCAACAAAAATAAGAGTTTGATGTAAAATCAATAAGGGCAAGATGGTTGACTTAAGGTTTCCTCACTTTGACTTTTGATGAACATATCATTAGAATCCAATGGTGTAATACTTGTTTTAAATCCTTAATTTGGCTATAGTAATCCAAGAAGCTTGAGATTACCTAGAGTTTTCTTAGTTTTTAAAATGGTTAGAGAAGCTCATAACAATTTCCTTAGTCAAAGTCACAATTTCCATTAAGCATGTAATTAGTGAAAGTCAACTAGCATTAGGAACCAAAAAGTCACCAAATCCAAGAGGAGTCAAATACTTTCACTACCACGTTGGAGAAAATCTTTTTATGATTGTATGAAGCAAAACTAACACAAAAATCATTTGTTGCTTGCTAATTTGAGGATCTTTTACTTAATCAAGAAATTATCCAACTAATCACCACAAACATATTTAAACTCATGAATAAAAACATACAAGTGGTGATAAGATGTTAAAACACAAAACATTCTTATAAAGATTCAAGAACTAGTTCATGGAGTCTTCAACATTCAACAAAAGTCAAAGGATTTCACCAAAGTCAACCAAGTTTTGTCTAGCCAAGCATGGCTAAACTTAAGAAAACAAAGTAAGTAAAGATTATACCAAACATTTTACAAGATTCAAGAGCAAAATGATGAAGTTCTTGAGGGTTCTTGGCCTTCAAAGTCTCCAAAAACTCCAGAGAGAAAGCTTCAAAATCGGATGTGCAAGTTTACAAAAGAATCCCACCAAACTTCCTCAAATAGAAGCCAAAAATAAAATCACAAATTTTCCCCTGCAGGAACTCATGCGGGCCGCACAATGGTCGCGTGAACTGATAGAGAATGGGCCTTTTTCATTTGTTGGGTCTGCACTGCTTAGTCCACTAGCCCAATTTGAGTCTGATCAGCTTCTAGGCTTTAGCCCGTTTTTCTTCAAGTTCTCTTCAATTTGAGCCCAATTTGACTTTTCCAAATCCTCCAAAGCTCTCGTAACCGCCCGATCATTAATTCTCACACACTTGAAAATTTCTTCCATTTTCGTTTAATTAAGAGACCATCTTCTTCCATGCTCCATCCATCTAAAGCCCAAATTATGCATCACCTCAACTAGATATTAAGCCCAAGATCCTTGTTGTCCTCTAAGTCCAACCGCTTTTCATAAGTCCCGAACATTCCCGCTCCGCTAGACTCCAAAAACCTACAATTATGCTCACGAAATTCGAAAGTACCCGAAAGTGGTCATAAAATAACAAAAAGGAAAAGATGCATGGAAATTAACTAAAATATGAATGAAATATGCTAAAATAAACTATAAAAAAAAAGTAAATGAAATGAAACTATCAAAGACCCTAGGTTTTGTTCTGGATCCGCCACTAGGTACGAGAGACCGAAGTTGTGGTGATGGTGATAGTTTTGGGAGTATAGAGAAAAAGAGGGAGAGATATATATTAGGTTGGAATTTTATAGGAGTGAGTGGGTAAGGTGAGGTTAGATTTATTTATTTATTTTTGTATAAATATAAAATAAATTATATGTAAATTAAAAATAAAATAATATAGGTAATATAATCATTTTATGTCTAACAAAAATTAAAAAGTATAAATTTAAACTAAAAAAAGATGAATCAGGTTTAAAACAAAATGAATAACAATTTAAATTTATTTTTAAAATAAAAACTAAGATTATATTTGACAGACGAGCTGAAAAGCTAGCTGCTAGCTTATCAGCTAACTAACAAAAAATGACGTTTGATAAAAACTAGCTAGCTGAAAGATATAAAATAACATAAAATGACATTTAAAAGAATATATTCTTTTTATTAATTAAGTGTATATTTGAAAAAAAAATAAAAACTCTTAAAAAAATACTCAAAGTAATTTTTTAAAAATTTATTTAATCAATTATTTTTTGTTTGACAACATTATAATTTAAAAAAACTCAAAAAATAAACTAATTGTACACGCCAAATACACCTAATTATACAATTTAGCATCTAAGCCAAGACCATGTCCCGTAATCCACAAATCCACATACTAATAAGCTAAATATAGCTAACAAGACGGCGAGAAGCTGTTGAAGTATTTTGGAATATTTGAAGTCGATTTCGGTCTTTTCTCTGTCTCTCTCTCTCTCTCTCTCTCTCTCTCTCTCTCTCTCTAAGATGTTTGAGTTTGGGGATGAACTAATTATTGACAGCTACAGGATTCCATGGCTGATTTGGATCCAACTACTAGCTATGTTTCTTCTCGTTATCCTCCTTTATATTTTCACCACCACCCCTTCCGATCTACCCCTCCATTTCTCCACCGCCACCTCCTCCGCCTCCGCTTCGCAGTCATCCCCCGCCCTATCTCGCTCTTTCATCACTCCCGCCGCTGCAAACACTTATCAGAATTACAAGGTATGCTATGAGTTCTTAGCTTGATAGTATAATATTTCACCACTCCTTATGTCATAAACATTGATGTTGTTGAAGTTTAGATACTGTTACCGTAGTTGATTTTTCCAGAATACAATTAACGCCTTTCAATTTCCCAAGGAGATGAAACCGAATGTCTGTTTTGCCTTATGACGTTTACATTTGAATGCTTTTAGAAATTTAAATCGCCAAAGATTCTTATACAAATTTGGCACCAATAAATTGGGGATTGAAGCGATTGTTACAAGTTCTAATGAATCTGTCCAAAATTTTCAAAAACCTAGAGGGTTGTTGAGATTAAGGAGTACTGGACCTTAAGAAAGTACATCCCCCAAAGAAAATTAAGGGTATAATACTCATCTTTCTTGTAAACAAAGAGATTCCTACTTAAGAAATAATCAGTAGCCTTTTATACTTTAAATAGGAAAAGGAAAAAAGAAGGAACCAAGGAGTTGTTATTAAGCTACAACCCTTTTTCTTTAAGCATGTTAATTCGTGTTGGCTTACATTCATATTGAGCATATGTTGTATTTCCCCAAATTCATATCACTATATCAGTGTCTAAAGATGTTTTCAGGGATATGGAGCATGATATCCATTTAGTTTGGAGGTTTAATATTTTCTTTTTTGTCTTCTTTTGCCTTCAACATTATCAAAAATAATGATGCCAAGAGAGCTTGCCAAATTTCTGATGAGACAAGCCAGCTCATATATATAACATTGCTGTAGCCTGAATGCTTTATATTGTGTGTGCAAATATCCAACATGTCAATACTTTATTTTGTTGTTTTGTTGTCAGCAAAGTATAATTTTAAGACTAGCATTCATATATCTTTATGATGCATTCAATAACATAGAAATATCTTTTGATTGGAGAATCCGTTTATTCTTTAAAAGAGTCGATCCATAAAAATAAAAAATAATAATAATAATAATAACTACTAAATGACCATTTTCCCCCTATCTTCTTCATCTTCACCCTCTAGAAACCCTAAATTCAAAACAGATTCAACCAAACCCCAAAAATCAATCCTAAATTCAAACTAAACAGAATCAAAATAAAAAGAAAAAAAAAAATCAACCCTTTTCAGAGACCATATCCGTAAAAGTTGAATTGTTTTTGAGTTTAGGGGCAAAATGGTCATTTGTACAAATTTAACTCCCGAGCCTCAAATCATGAATTTACCCAAATATTTATTCTAGAACTTTTTTTTTTATGGTTTGTAGTAGAGGTAATTGGTATCGAATCCCATGTTTCTTATCTTTTTGTTTATACTGCTAATAGGTAATTAGGATCATTTGGTTTAATTAGTTGAGAATGATGATATTTGTAGGTTACAGAAAATGAAATAATAAGGGAGACAGGAACAAGCACAAGTGAAGTAGCACAAAGGGCAAAGAAACCGAATGTTGGTGAGGGCCCCACCGCAGTAGATGAGGAAAACAACATGATATTGGAACATTCATATCATCCTTGTCATCTTTTTGGGCTTGCAAAACAAGCTTTTCTCAAGTGTTTAGGGATAGATTCTGGACCTGATAACTCTAACTCTACCAGAAAAAGACACAAAGAAAAAGATGAATGACATGTATACTCTTCTTCTTTCTCCCTTTCTTTCAAACTTCTTGTGAATGTATAGTAATCTTCTCTTCTTTCATCTATTGTTCTCATGAGCTATATAAACTCTTTTTAGATTAGTTGATTTTGATACTTGATTTGAAATGGTAGAAGTTGGTTTAGAAGTAGTTTTGATGACACTCTTATTTGGTTTGATCAAGGAACAAGAGTGAATATCACCATATAAACTCAGTCAATTATTGATGAGTTAATGAAACGTGTAAAACAAGCCTTGTTGATTTTGTAGTCACTGCCTAAATGTTACATGCATTTTGTGCATTTATGTTGTCACTGCTTTGACACATGGATTGTTAACAAAGGTAAAACTCAAAATCAAAAATGAAAACAGGAAAAGATGACAACTGGAAGTGTTGACGGCATATAGTAAAACTGTAAAGACTGCTTTGGATGTGAGAAAGGAATACAAAATAAATACATCTTTTAAAGAAAGAAAAAACGAAAAAACTACATGTTACGTGAAGGGCAATTTTTGTTAGGAGGACTTTATTTGCAAAAGCAAGTTAGAGATGAAGAAAAACGTGAAAAGATGAGTTTGGTTCCAAAAAAGGATTTGTTAGATTATGTTAGTAAGCAAATCAACATATACAACCAATAAAATACAATTTTTTAGCAACAACCTATTACAAACAAAATTATACTCCGTATTATAGTAAATTACAGAAATGGTCTATGTGGCTTGGCCAATAACACTTGGAACTCCCAATAAATAATACATAAGGTTGCTCATGATTTCATGTAAAGGATATCCGAATTCAACTAATAAGAGGTTGCAATTCCACATTAAAAACAAGATGTTGCAATCACGATCGTTGGTAGCTTCCACTCTAAATCAGTAGCACAAAGCCAATGAAGATGCCCGTTTTGGCCATCTACACAAACTTCATGTGTATGCCTAATCAGTATGATGTGCGATGGAAGCCTTTGACTTATTACCTCTCATGAACCCTTTCTCATGCTATACACCTCGACTTCCGATGCCATGTTGCGTGATTGGAGAAGGCTTGTAAACTTCACAGCTTTGTAATCATCGGTTTTGGGATCAAACCCAAACCGAAAATGGTATTTGGCAAAAAATCACCCGAGGGCATAGAACATGGGGGAGAGTTAACATCACGGATAGAGAAGGATTCCAAATGTAAACTGCAGCGTAATCACGGGATCTGTAATTGAAACATATTAATCCATTCACAGATCCAATGACATTGCCATAAGTATTATGTGTAGATTGAGGATTAAGCGAGTGTTGCAGAGGTTTCTGCTTGTGTAGGATCGTGTAATGGTCATTGGTGATGATGTTCTTATTTCTGCCCTTTCAGGTTTGTCATCACTGGTTTATATTTTATTCAAATTTTGGTAGCTTTTTAGGGTTTATTCGGTGATCGATGCTTGTTACTTCCCAAGTTAAGAGGTTTTGAGTTCAGTTTTAGGGCTTTCCCCAACTCAAAGCTTGCTTTTTGATGACAAATTCATCAACTGACATTGGTTTAAGAGTTAAATTTCTAGGATTTCACCAATAACGATGGACTTGAAGGACAATATTATGTTGTTTTTGGTAAGAATTCTGCAAATTTTCTTTTCTTTTGGCGTGTCTATTTGTTTTCTTTACTTGCTGGATTGATTGATTTTTGAAAATAACCATAATGACCATCGCAGTGAGAGTGTAAGAGAGACATACAGGTAACGGTGGTGACAACAAGAGTCCGTGCAATCACTGTCGCAGAGCCGCGGCAAGTGGTGAGAAATGGCGGAGAACAGATGTTCACTTTTTCGTCCTGTTCTTTGAGTCAAGTAAAAGGAAAGGAAAAAAGAAAACTCGTTTAGGAAATGAATTGTGAGTTTGAGTTTGTTTATTTTTTTTTGAACAAATTACACGGATGGTCCTTTAACTTTATAGTTTTCCCTGATATGGTCCTTACGAAACGTTTTTCCCTGAGATGGTCCCTACGGAGTAAACTTTGCACACAAAAGGTCCTTATGACTAACTTTGTTAAAAGATCCTGTTAAGTATATGTGAAAAGACGAAAATGCCCTTTGTTTTTGTTTTTTATATTTATTTTAATATGTTGTTAAATTGAAATAAAAAATGAGGCCTTCTCTCTCTCTCTCTCTCTCTCTCGTTATATCACTCCTTCTCTCTCTACCCTCACCTCTCTCCCCTTCCCGTTTTTATTCACCACCGGCCAAGGAAGAGGCTGCCACCAGAACTGCCTCTTCCTTCCTCTTTCTGTCGCAATCCAGCTCCACAAACACTCCCTATGGCTGTTGTTGTCCCCCTCGATCTCTGCAGCCCTGCCAAAAGGTTTGGTCGCCGGAAAATGAACCAGAAGAAAGGAGGACGTTGCCTCCGATTTGGCCCCCTCCACCTCCTTCTCCAGTCGAGTAGCATCACTCCAAACACCCTATGTTTCTGTTTTGCTCGATCCCCGCCTCCCCTTCTCCTTGCTTTCTATTGTCTGGCAAAGAAAGAAGACCCGATGAGGGAGCTGCCGGAGCAGCCCCTCGCTAGCACCATCGTTGATCCAGCTGCTTCCTTTTCCCCTCGATTGGTGGTCGCCGACGACAAGAAAAGAACCACAAAGGGTCGTCGGAGGTCGACTGCTCCTCCTCGCGATCTGCTTGACCACCAGAGCTTCCCGATCGTCGCTTTCCATTTGTGTTTCTGTGACAACCGTCAAATTCAAGTCAAAGTCAAAGTCAAAGTCAACAAGTCAAACTGGTCAAACTTAACTAGTACTTGTATGTTAAAAGTTATTCTACGTATAAAATGTGCATCTTTATGTCAAAAATTCAAGTGTCTCGAAGAATCTATGTGTTAATAATGTAAAAACCCTAAAAAGGGAGTTAAACGCATCAAAACACGACTAAGGACCCTTTCGGGGACTTAAAACGATCATTAACGAAGCATAACGGGGTTCACGAACCTTGCATTACGAGATTATACGATAATAATGACTAAGATTAAATCTCTCCCAAATCTCTCCAAGTATGTGAAATCTCTCCCAAATCTCTCCAAGTATGTGAAATCTCTCCCAAATCTCTCTAATTATGTGAAATCTCTCCAAGTATGTGAAATCTCTCCCAAATCTCTCTAAATATGTGAAATCTCTCCAAGTATGTGAAATCTCTCCCAAATCTCTCTAAGTATGCGAAATCTCTCCAAGTATGTGAAATCTCTCCCAAATCTCTCTCAAAATCTCTCTCAACTTTTTATAATCATCCCGACCCTTAACTTGGCCAAAAGCCGCTCGAAACGGGGAGTTATATCGAAAAACAGCTAAATAGGGCCGAAACCCCTCTTAGGAACCGAACCTCTTAGGAACCGAACCTCTTAGGGCCGAACCCTCTTAGAGCCGAACCCTCTTAGAGCCGAAACCCTAAGAAGCGAAACCCTAAGAAGCCTCCTAGATCGAACTTGCAAGGACCGAAACTTCTGGAGAACCGAACTCGCATAGACCGAACCCGAACTACCCTTCGCTTCTAGCCTACTTCGCCTTCGGTCCCTCTTCCGTGTTCGCCTGCGAGACTGCTCGGACCGAGCCCTCCTCTCGGTTCTAATGCATCAAGCGAACCTACCTTCGGTTCTAAGCTCCTAAGACCGAACCTCCGGCCCTGAGTTCGCAGATTCGCAACTTTTACCCGGTTTTCGACCACGACTTCGTTTTAAGCCCGTTTTTCATGATTTTAACGTGGGATTTTCACCAAAATCCATATTTTACCATTTAAAAACCCCAGAACTCTTATTTTAATTATTTTTCAAGTATTTATTAATTAAAATGGCTTAGATTACCAAGTGGGTCAAGTGTGCCCACTTGCCCTTCCATGTGTCATCCTCTCATTTGCCACCTTATCCACATCACACAAACCAAGGCACACATCACTTCAAACTCTCAAGTTGCTCCAGCAACCTTCTATATAAAGAAATCCTTTGAGGATTTCTTGATTTACTTGCTCATTTCAAACATACACACACTTCTCATACCACCTCAAGAAAGCTTCTTTTCTCTCAACTTTCAGCCACACTTTTGATGTATTATTGAGTCATTTATTCACTTATTGGTAAGTATTTCCTTCTAACTCAAGTGTTATTACATGTTTTCATAACTCTCTTGGATCAACGACTCATATCTTCACACCAAAAATCGTTCTTAGGATCATCCAAAACTTCGTGTGTTCATCAAGTGATCTAGACTTGAAAACTCATCATCTTCAACCTTCCACTCTTCAAGAAATCACTCAAGGTGAGTTCATACCCCTACATTTTCTAGTTTTCTTCAGTTTTCAGGGGGGAATACAAGTTAAAACACCAAAACATATTCAAAACTCAACTTGACAGCTTACAACAGAAAAGTTGTGACCCGTTCACGAACTGTTTTACCCAACTTAAACTTAATATCTTTCAAAACTGTATAATATGCAAATAGTTCAGGTTTATACCTTTAAAATGACTACTTGCACATCTCCATATAATTTTTCTACGATTTATGGTGATTTTTACAAAACTGCCTAGCATTTCAGAAACGAATTCGGACCAGTCTGTGATTATGAACACTTTCACATAAGTTAGAGGCTTCTAAAAATCATAATAAAAATTATGAATAAACTAGACACATTTTCTAAGCTCTCAGAGTTTACGGAGTTAGTTTTCGACTTCGTATGATTTTTCTATGATAATTTCAAAACAGTGCAGAAAGGATAAAAATTAGTTGCATAGTTTACCATATTAACAACACTTTGTATTATGTTGAGCAAAGTGCATAACAATAAGTTTCTCAATGTTTGGATGCATTCTTGTTAGTTTATCATCATAAACAGAAATTAGTCATTCATGTTAAGGATTTTCCTCCATTCATTTCGAACACATCTAATAAACTACATTAAGTATAGTTTATGAATTTTCGATAAAAGCATACTACATGGAAAAGGTTTTACTCTCAAAACAAATGGGTTTTTCATATACTACTTGATAAACTATAATAGTAATAGTTTATGGATTTAATCACAAATGTATTTTCATAAAAGGTGATTTCACTTCCTCCACGGAAGAGGTTTTATACTCAAAACTATATGTAAACTAGTTAACGTAAGTTGTGAGACATTCTCCTTCGGGGTACTCTTAAGTACCACAGAAAATCCTGAATTAGTTATAACCAGAGTCTCTTGTAAGGAGAGCGTGATAATTGTGTATAGATATATATTGGGATTGACAACCCACACCCACGCTGCTTGCATAAGTCCGATCGGCTGATCGGGGGTGACGAGTGTCATTTCGATTCCGACGCCTGAAGAACGTCGCAAGCAGGTTATTCTGTCGTAGTATGGTTTATAACGACTCACATAGGGAGTTAACAATCTTTCAAGTTTACATGAAAAATTCTACTTTGAAAAGGGGTTTTACTTCTAAATTAAACGAGTTTATGCCGATTTAAACTTGCATGAATTACTCTAAGTATGGAAAAATACTTGTAGATTCTCGGTCTTGACGCTTAAGGCTACATGACTTTTTATAAGGAAAATATTGGATTTTCTTTGGAAACACATTTCCATTATGAACATTATAAGCACAAAACACACACATACTCTCTGTCTTAACAATTAGGACTACATGACTTTTATAAGGAAAATATTGGATTTTCTTTGGAAACATATTTCTATCAAAACTACATTTCATCTAGAATTGTTAGACTTCAGCTATAATTGCTAAGTGTATATGCTAGAGTTATATAAGAATCTAGTCGAAATCGACCTAGAATTGGTGGGCCCGCCTTACTTCCTGTTCCTTGTTTAGTTGTGGACCTATGGCAAACCCATTATATTGACGGTTTATTTAAATTAAATTTTATATAACTTATATACACTGGGTGATTATAGAAGGAATCTACGGGTCTTTCTAGGGTACATTATTGCATAACATAGGAAAATATTAAATTTTCTAGAATCATATTCTATCGCTTTCTACAAGGAAAACGACTTCTTTCTCAAATAAAACTCTTATGAACTCACCAACTTAATTGTTGACGCTTTTTCAAACTACTTGTATTCTCAGGAATTCAGTGAAACAGGAAATCAACCGCTTTTGAGGATGGGACGTTAAATCGCCAAACATTTCATTTTTATCATCATAAGTGTAATTGATTGGAAACAAGTAAACACATACTATTGTATAACTTTTTCAATTATATTTATGATGGTTGTATTTACTTTGGGCACTATTATACTCGTTGTTGTGATATTATACATGAAGTCCTCCACCCCCGGACGTTTCCGCCATCCTTGGTTTGGGGGTGTGACAGTTTCTTTTTCTGCTTCTCCGGCCAGACAATAAACGAGGAGCATTTCCCCATCGTTTGTGTTGTTGGATCTCTGGTGGATCTACAATCGATGTCTGAGCTAAGGTTGAAGAGAGAGAGAGAAGAGAGAGAGAGAGAGAGAGAAGGATCATTTATGTACAAAAAACAAAGGGCATATTCGTCATTTACAATTACTTAACAGAATCTGTTAACAGAGTTAGTCATAAGGGCCTTTTACGTGCAAGGTTTGCTCCGTAAGGACCATCTCAGGGAAAAAAGTTTCGTAGGGACCATCTCAGGGAAAAACTATAAAGTTAAAGGATCATCCGTGTAATTTGTTCTTTTTTTTTGTTTTGAAAGGAAGCCCAAATTGGGAAAGATTCCTTATTTTTCTTTTATTTTCTTTTATTTAAAGACCTGAACTTCCAAGACTAATAAACGACGGGTCCAAGACTAACCTATCTAAAAAAACGAAGCAAAGTTGTATAAATATCATTTTTATATTAATTACACATTTCTAATTATACAATATCCAATTTCTTCTTTTTTTTCTTTCATTAAATTTTAGTTTATCATTTTTAGTAAATGATCGGTCCAAGTCCAATATATGACGCAATACATTCTGAGACCAATACATGACCAGTCCAAGACAAACCCCAATACTAGTCTCAAAATAGACAAAGAGCCAAAATTTGTATAAATATCATTTTGTATTCATTACACATTTTCTGATTTTTTTTTTCTTTTATTAAGTTTAGTTTATCAATTTTGTAAATGTTAATATATAAATTTTGGAGTTAATCACCCATTTGTTTATGGAAAAACTCAAAACCGCAACCGAACCAAAAAAGACAAAGACCACAAGAACAGATCGTTAGTAAAAGACAGATCCAAGACAGTCCGAAAATGACCGATCCGAAACCGTCAATGTGCATCTTAAATGGGTAGTCTAAGGCTACCCGGTATTGGGTAATCTCATGTGTCTTGGGCTGATGTGGCAGCCTCTCCCACGCGTGAACACCGCCCTCAAGTCCGGTGGGCTGCGTGTGGCGTGAGGCGGAAGACGGGCGAAGACGAGATCGTTGATTGGCTATTCAATTTCGAACGTTATATGCAGACCGTTTGAGCATAATAATAATAATAATAATAATAATAATAATAATAATAATAATAAACTTTTTTTTTATTTTTTCAAATTCTGTATATATACATTCACTTTATCTATAATTTCCACTAAACCACACCCACATTTTTTCAAAACAAACACGTACGTTAAACCAAAAAATGGATAATTTTCCACCTCCGATTTCTTCGTCTTCCGATGATAACGATTTTGATGAAGATTTGATTTTGTATACGCTGTTATCCGCGGCACGAGACGTGACGACGAGGCGGATGATGCCAGTGACGACAACGACGACGATTAGAATTATTCTATGTTTTTTTTTATGTTTTTTAATTTTTATTTTATTTAGACAATGTAATGTTTAATTTTAGTAATTTAAGTTTAAATTTCTATGTTTTTAATTAATGAAATGTGGTTTTATGTTTTATGTTTTAAAAAATTAATATATGTTATAAATTATGCTTTTTAATTAATATAATGTTCAAAAAAATAAAAAAATTAAAAAAAAAATTTGTGGAGTGATAACCATTTCCAATGTTTAGTGGGTTGATGTGAAGCTGACGTGACACACATGTGGCAGCACTTTTCGGTGGGGTGGGTGTGACCACTCCCCAAAGCCTATGAATGGACCCATTATATTAAACCATAACTAAAGCCGTGATGCAGTAAATATGACAAGACTTTGCAAGGCCTATTATATTGATTATTGGAAAGCAATGGTCTTCCATGAGACTTTAAGCTACCCTTGGCACCATAAGAAACTTCACTTAAGTTTTGCGATCTTTGTTGTGATAGAGCAGCATAAAGAGAGAAGATTGTTTAACCTTTCATTAATATTGCAAACTTACATCCACTCATCCTCACGCACCCTACAAATTCATAACAATCCTCCCCCCCCCCCCGACACACCCACCACCCAACACTTTTGTATATTTCCACAAAATAACGCTTATACCACTAATATATATTCTCTATCAATTTCAACTTCTCTATAAATAACTACTCTTTGTCTTTAACCTTAACTTTCTTCATATATTTTTTTTCCCATACAAACTAATAATAATTCATGTAAGAAACAATGCCCACTTATATTTCACAACTTTTGGCATTGTCTTCTCAACCTTCAACAACGTAGCATTGCAGAAGAAGCACCTTTCACAATTGATGAGATGCCGGTTTAATGCACCCAAAACACGAAACATGCGTGCATGGCAAGAACTTAGCATCTGCTTCAACAACTGTAGCAAATGCAACACACGTTTCTCATCACTCTCTGCTTCACCTCCTCCTTCATAGCTCACCCTCTTCACTGGTCTCAATAGTAGATTGCTAGAAAAATCCTCCAGTTTGCCTCAGTTTCGCTTTCCGCCACATGTAAATCACCCTTAAAGCTCCCCGCCTGCCAACGTCATCAAACAATGTCAAATTACAATAAATCAAAAAAAACCTTACACGCACACACACAGAGACACAAACACTAACCCAATTGAACCAAGGAGATATTGGAACCAGAAATGAGAGTATCAGCACAATCCATGCTTGCGAAAATGCCCACAATATCATTCTGTTTCTGTTCTCTGCTGTTTTACAAGACTAGCATCCAACAATTTAAATGATACAAACTAAAGGACCGAGAATCATGCCTCGGTTGACTTTCTCCGGGGTTTGACCAGGTCTTCTAAGTGTTCCTGTACAAAGTAGAAACACATTAATTACATATTGGAAGAGTAAAGAAATGATGGAATATCTGAAAATTTTAGGAGACTTACAAGTCGAAGATTCAGGGTCAGCAACTGAGGTCCAAATGGTTGAGAACAAAGACAATCAGTTCTCTACTAATCTGCGCAAGTTCGCGTATCTGCCCCTGACAGAAAAGCTTGAGGGATTTCACATGTGCAAAACTCTAGTACCCTTGCTAGGTTGCTTGACAGATCAAATATAAACACTGCATTTCCTTTGTTGAAACTCTATCATCTGCAAAAGGGCATTTTGGTCATTTTGACAATTAATATATGGCTGTTTTTTGTGAGTCCAGATAATTTTACCTGACACTTTTCTTGCATTTCCCGAATGGAAACTGAGAACTCGGTCATTGACCAGCTGAGGGTATTGAAAAGACGATTGAGGAATGCTGAAAATAACTCTTCGTCTTTGACACAAGCCATCACGTAATAGTTTCTGGTCAAAATATATAAAATCAATAAACTATTTGCTTATTGGAATTACTAAATAATAGATACAAAATAATAAATTTTACCTGAAAGATGCTAGAAGTCACTGAAGACTCTCCATGCTTTGAAAATCCAATCCACAACCTGTAACATAACCGAATAAGTATATTGGTTACAGAATCCATGATCGATTATCAAATGCTGATAATAATGCTGTTGGGAGACTATGAGTGGCTGCTTTATTGCTCTCAAAAGCGGCCAAAAACTCCTTGTATTGAACCAATACAGAAATCGACTGCAAAAGTAAGTCTCTTAATTCTGCACTTGATATCCTCTCGGGTCACTGAATGTGTCGCCACAAAAGTAACCTAAACAATACAAAATACCAAAAACATTATTTTATTTAACTTTTCATATTCTAAAAAGGAAAAAAAAAAACATAAAAATAGGAAGTCCTGTTTTATAAACATTCCAGCAGGTACAAACGGGGGATCACTCTTTCGCAATACATGGAAACAGTCAACCTAAAGCAACAGCAAAGACTAATTAGGATTTAGAATACGGGATAGAGGATGAAAGTTGTGGTATTTAAATAGTTATTAAGAGTTTATATTAGTTTACCAGAGTTTCCAAATAAAATTCTGGAGACATAGCTGAAAAATATCCTTTTGGGCTAAGAACAAGAAGCATTGGACAATCCATATAATGCTGCATACATCCCTCTTTGTTTGCCGCTAGCAAAAAGAGAAATCCGATACCTACAGTTTGTAAAAACAGTTAGATTCAGTAAAAAAAAAGGGCAAGATTTACAACAATCTAATTACCAAGCACAATGGCGAACACAATCTATAACTTCTTCACGATAAACACTTCTGGCCTCCTTCAACCTTCTTAACTGCTCACCACTAACCTCGATCTCTAATCTGTCTATCAGTTTCTTCTAACTGTGATATGGAATGTGACGGATGCGTCATGTAAGCAGATGCCTGTTTAAAATTTTGGTGCGAGACCTAAGTGATACAACAGAAGCAGGGCTCCAGAAGTTCTTCTTCTACTAATGTTGAAGAAGATGAAGTGCTATCTAACGCTACAAACTCTCATTTGCTGACTGGACGATTGTAAACTCGGAATCTGATTGGTCGCTTGTGCTAGGTGTATCCTCCATGTCATCATTCAAGTTTCCCGCGCGTACATTCTGCAGCCACCTGTGCAGATCTCTCTGGAATCGAGCTGCAATGGCTCTGAGAAGCTTTCTTGTGTACTGAACGGAGGGTTTTTTGAAATTCCGTGAGAAGTTCACATCCAAACTTAAGCAACAACATGGCTTCCGGTTTCCTATATGTGTTACTCTGCTTTCTTCACTTTCTTCATCGTCGAATGCATCCTTCCTCCCACCTAACCACTCTGATTCTGGATCCACGTGTGTACAGATGAGCATTTGAAAGATGACTGTAGGACCCACCAAGCCTCGGGATCTCAACTCTATGGGATCGTTTTTGAGAATCAGAAGAAGGGGGAAACCTCTGTTGACCACCTCTATGAAGAAACCCTAGATTTGACGCTTTAACTAGTTCCAGATCCCTCATCCAACCACATCCTCTTGTCGCAAATCCTTCTGATAAAAAAATGAAGTATAACGGAAACAGAGAAACAAGAACCGAATTGCTTGAGACTCCGGGAGGTGGTATATTC